CTATTACTAGCACAATAGTGCCCATAGGTCATTTACATATAGGATTCTGGTAGGTGTTAGGCCTTGATCTCTGCTATTTTTAAACATTCCATCTTCATTTTTTTTCCATAACTAGCTCTTAGTATATTCTCCAAAAATGCCAGGACTTTGGCTTCTCAAAAGCTTGCCTTCAAGATTTCATGAATATCACAATGGTCCCAATATGACAAATGTGTAGGATTTGGGAGGCGTTCGACGTTGATCTGTGTTATTTTAAAACATTCCACCATTACTTTTTCTTCACGAGTAGGCCTTACTATGTCCTTCAAGAAGGCCCGAAAATGGGGTTTCATATCCTTATCTAATATGCTACATTTTTATGGAAGGTGGGTAGTCAGAGAATTCAACATGTGTAATCTGTCAAGATATCTTAATATTATGAAAATGGTTTCTTTTCTTTGTTTAGATTTTTAAAAACTGGTGGAAATTTCTTGTGTATTGCCGATGATTGTATGGATCTGTTAGAATAACTGAGTATTCAAATGCTATGTATCTCGAAGATAACGAATCTAGTTATTCATTAGAGAATCAGGAACTATTTCATAGATGAAGGGAACAATTACAACATCAATGTATCAGCAATTGATTATAACTTTTGTGTTTTATTGTTTCGAAAAAAGGTGAAGTGCTGAAAATTCTGGATTCTGTGCATTCAATTTTGTTCCTACTTAGATTTGCTACGAACTCTCTAGCGGAATGAGAAGTATTGTGATTTAAATGAGACCGATTCAAGAATAAATGCTCAATTCCCAGATGTCTGGAATCAATGACAGAAAGTAAAACTACCTCTTATATATTTGAAATTTTAATACCCTTAGTAGCAGTTTAAATATTGTATCACTGATAGTATATAATGTCTTTTTGTCGCGTATTATGAATGCTTACAAAATAAAGGGAGGCTAATTTTAAATTCCTATTGTGATAAGTGAAAACTCAATAAATCATCACTTTTAGTCAAATACGTGTAAGATAATGAAATTATCCCTTTATAATGCTTACATAGCATCTACTAGTATGTTCAAAGTTTTCTTCTTCTAAGTTTATAGCTTTGGTATCTGGTCTGTGCCGACATAATCCGTTGTTCTCACATTTCTATTACACACAAATATGTATTCTCATAATTGTCGCACATACTATTGTCAGTTCTGATAATTGATTGACTCATGAAAGTCTACACAGAAGTGTCTTTGACACAATCGTTGAAGAGGGACTAGTCGCAGACTGTCAAGTTTTCGTGATCTGGCTGCATAAGCTCGACTTACACACGCACACCATGCACGATGAAAACAACGTACAGATCGCAGAAGCTACTAATCTCGTGACGAACCTTAGAGGATGATCGATGTTTTCCTTTTTCAAAATTCTTTGACGTTAAGAAAACCCAACGATTCTCATAGACTCAACATCATCGTGGTTTTCTTCGTATGTTAATTGACTACACCATATTCTCACTGGCTTTGCCATTACTCCTGCTGTTGTCGCCTTCACTTCTTGAGTCTCTAACTGATAACTCATATTATATTACAGTTCCATAGCATCTGGATAATAAGCTACTCGAATAGATTCATTTAATAACTATCAATATAGAAAAATTTTACCTGAATTCTCTACAAGAAGCCGTTTTAACAATAATAACATATGACATAGAGATTATATACATGTGATACTATAATTATCTGTAAAGCATAAAAATATAACGTATCAGATAAGAATGTAAGAGTTCATGTTCAGACATATTTAAGGATATTCAAGGGATTGTTTAACCGCAAAAAAGATGTGGAAATCTTTTCAAATAATTGGGATAGAGGTCAAACATTTACCACAGAGATGAGTACAAGACAAGATTTTTCATCCTGTCCTGTCCTGTCCTGACAGCCGACTCTGTCCTGGAGGGCGGCAGGACAGGACAAAAATCAAAACCGCGCCCTGTCCTTGCTCATCTCTGAGTTACCATCAACCGGTATATATGACAGATTGAGACCACTATGGTATTACTGAAAACTAAAAGGCAAGCTTTTCTGAAGGCCATGTTCCGGCATTTTTGGAGGACATATTAAGGCCTATTAATGGAGAAAAAATGAAGGCGGGATGTTTTAAAATATTAGAGATCAAGGTCGAACACCTCCCCAAATCCTATACATCTGAAATATTGGGACCATTGTGATATTCATGAAATCTTGAAGGCAAGCTTTTGAGAAGCCAAAGTTCTGGCATTTTTGGAGGATATACTAAGAGCTAGTTATGGAAAAAAAATGAAGGTGGGATGTTTTGAAATAGCCAGTAGTGTCAAACTTGAAAGTTGAATTCAAGTATTCAACCATCACTTCAACTATTCAAGTATTCAACTATCCAAATATTCAACTTTTCAAGTATTCAAATGCTCAATAAGTCAACGCGTGGAATGTCACCAGAATCATCTAACATCGACAAGTATTGCTTGGGATGCTACACGCATCTCGTAGGATGCTACAAGCATCTCGTAGGATGCTACAAGCATTTCCTAGGATGCTACAGGTTTTAGTTGAGACGCTTCATACATTATCTGGGATGCTACAAGAAGTATATGAGAAGCGTGAGCTATTGTGAAGTACTGAGTAAGAATAATGGTGTACACAGAGACGTGCATGGGTCGCGGCTCTACGGGGGGGGGGGGCGCTTCGCGCTCCCACGCCGCGACGCTGAAATAAAAGATGTGTTAGGTGGGGAAACACGCTTCCCCACTGAATACCCACAGAACACTTGGGAGGTTAAAATTTGAATAGTTCAGTTGAATACTTGAATAGTTGAAACTTCACGTATTCAATAATTGAATAGTTGAATAGTTGAAGCTTCAACTATTCAATAATTGAATACTTGAATTCAAGTTTCACGTATTACATGTATGGGGTAAGTATGGGGTATCCATGTGGTAGAAAACTGAAGTTGAAAGTCGTGTTTATGCTTATTTTCTGCTTGCCAGTTATTGTAATCAAAATTTCGCAATCGGTACAAAACCGTTTCGTTATATGGGAAAAGATGGTTTCGTATAAATTACATATGTCGAACATTTTTTGGAAATTTTGAGTGGAAGGTGTGTTATGAAACTCTTGTTCTATGTAAGCAAAAAAGGATCTTGCCGTGTATCAAGGTTATGAACCTGTTCAGATTTTGTAAAAATCCGTTTGTTTTAAAAGTAGATATCCTTCATAGTCGTCGATCATAAAATATTACAAAATGTAATCTTCATTATATGAGGCACTTGAAAGAAAATGAAAGAGGTGCATGGTTTTTTTCCACAAGGCTGTACTACTGAAGCCACAGAAAGTGAAAATCAACTTTATGGAGAGAAGAACACAAGGAGCAATAAAAAGCATATTTTATGGTTGTAATCTCTATTCAACACTGACAGATTTATGCCTACAGCGGTTATATTTAAACGGCGTATTTTTCAGTCTGATATTTCAAAGTATTTGTCGAAACGGTAACAAACTTTTGTCATAGACAAGGTTTTTTGATCAAAATAAGAACGTAAGTATTAATTTTTCTTTAAGAAAATTTCGTTTTTCAACAAGACAGTTAATATAAAGGAGTATATTGTAGTCCGCTTGTAAAAAGCGGGTTACTCTTATGAAAATAGCCATGAAAAATCCTCTTCGAATTGCTTGTACTGAATACATAAAACGCATTTATGATGAACCTGTTTGATCAGCATTCTAGGTACTGCTTTAGAGCAGATAGATACAACTAAGATAAAAATGAATTGACTAAATGGATTAAAAATAAAAATCAATGTATTGAAACAGATAGTATCCTTTTTATTGTCACAAGTAGTATTCAATCTGTTTTTTTGAAAAATATTGCTTTATAGATGAAAATATAAATATGAAGTTTCATTTAAAGATTATTTTCTAGTCAAAAGCATTGACTGAAGAATATTTATTTCAAACTTCTGTTTGCACATATTTCTTTACAAAAATATTTTTAGTTTACTCCCGTATGGTTATGCGTATTGCAGTTTATTAGGATCGAAACAAACCTATACCAACATCCATACCTTATATTGCTTAATAAGGAACTGAAGAAGAAAAGCAGTGATCTTCTTCATTTCGTCTCCTTTCTCGTTGCGACTTTTCACGAAGCATATAGAAAAATTTTTCTGTTCTTTGCGTAAACTGAAAGTTGTAGAACTGTGAGGAAAGCTAATCACGCATTTTCAATGGATGAGTCGACAAGAAGGCAAAAAGCTACGATGTCCTGATCGAGCACTACACCGACCGAAATCGGCCGTTTACGGCGGTGTGGATGTGGTTTTACAATGTTCTGTGCGTTGAAACTCACACCCTTTTACGCTTAGCACTCATTTTGCTTCGATTCTGGTTTCTGTTTTGTTTAATTCGGTAAAAGAGAAGGTAATTCCTTCAAGGCATCCGAATGTGTATGTTTAAATGTGATCTGTCATACAAAGGTTCTTATTTTAGCAACTTTATCGGATTATTTTAACTGTAGAATGTGTTTCGTAAAATCTGGACTCGTGAATAAGATCAAAATATTTCATTAGTATTATTCATTGATTGAGCATGCATAGTTCTATCAAAAATTGGGCAAATAATTTTTTTCTCATGCAAATACAGAATAAATGAAGCGTGCTACTTAGAAAATATAAACTAAAAAGGTAGGGGTTGGTGAAAGCAGCAGTATATAAGACAAGATATGATATACTACATAATGACATATAATTCAGCTCTTTAATCGATTCGACTCAGACATAGCGAGCAAAATATTTCAACTATTTCAAGTTCAGCAAATAAATTTTGGAACCACCATAAAATACGAATCATTATTGTTGTTTTTTATCTAAGGATTTATTTTTACTCGATTGACTTGGAATAATGGCAAGCCCTGATCTAACTAAATCTTTATTCGACGCAATTGATACAAATCAAGATGAAAAGTGTGAATTAAGAATTTACGTCGAATCATAAATGCATATATGCATGTTTAGAATTGAAAAAGAGGAATTTCGTAAATGGGCTTCAAATCCTGTAGAAGTGCGTTCTTCACCATACGAGCCACTGAATATTGGGTATAATCATAGTTATACGATTACTAGTCGATTAGATCGGTATGAGCATAAAGATATTAATCACAATGCTTTTGAATCTACAGCTAATGAATATTCTTTGTATAGAACTACAACAGTATCAAAAGATTATATTAGTGATACGATAATTCTCACTAAAAGTGTAGAAGAAACGGAACTATATCTGGAAAATCATGGTATTGATCTTTGTAAGAATCCACAAATTATTAGGCGAACAATACCTGAAAGGCCACCAACATATGAACAACGAGTTTCTGTTCGATATCTTCAGCCACCACCTCTTCCACCATCAGGAGTAATGAAATACATTGTCTGAAATTCAAGCATATCAGTATTTTTATGATTTTAGTCACTCATTATTAAAGAAGTGAGCACAGAGCAGCCACCACCTCTTTCCTCACTACCACCACTCATTTTACGTGAACGACCACCAACACCACCGCCAATTCTTTCAAGTGAAACAATTTAGAAACATAAGAAATTCAAACGATATAGATTTGGTTAATCAATGTATTTTTTTTACCGTTACTCGTACCTTACCTCCCTTACCTGTTCCACCACGATCAGTTGTCATCGAACGTTATCCACCTCTTCCAGAAAAACCACGTAGAACGATTATCTTCATTTTCTCTTTGTTGGTTTTTAATTTCTGATTGTTGTTTTGTTTCTATTTAGGAGATATTATAATTGAACGATGGATCCCGTACGGACGTCAAACTGAACGCCATACGATTGTTCAACAGGCTGCTCCTCCTATAGAATATCCAAAACCAAGTTGTACTATTGTTATTTACGAAGTTCCTCAAGCACGTATAGTCCGGAAATTTGAGCAACTTGATGTTACTAATGAAAATCCTGAAGATTATGTAGCCCGCTATAGTGAATCACTTTTAAATTCAACAACATTGGTTCAACAAGCTCGTAATGTTGGCGTTATTGAAGATATAGTAACTTTCTTGTCAAAAAAGCCTTCACAAGAAACTATATAAATTTTTTTATTTTCTAAAGTATCCCAAAAGTTACTACTCAAAAATGTTTTTTTCGTATGATAGGTGATACTATCAAGGTTTTATTTCTATGAACAACTTATGAAAGTTCTTTTTAAAGTAATTATGATTAGCCGAGTTACAAGAATTCAGCCTTTTTCCTGATTTCATATTAATACTTCGCAGCATTTCTTTTGTTTTTTTGATGAAACATCAAAACTAATTTCTAGAATATGACTGTTTGAGATTTGAGCAATTTAAAGATCAGAATCAGTCTAAAAA